CTCCAATAGCCTCGCGGCCAGGAGTGGTCTGAGGCTGGCTGCAGCAGCTGGCTCCCCAGGCAGAAGGCACGATTGGCGCCCCCACCTGCATGGCCGTCTATGGCTGTGACATAATCACAGGGTGCCCCGGCTCCCCGTGACATCATCATCGGGCGCCTGGGCCGGCGGCGCCCTAAACTGCCTAATTTGCCTCGCCTCACAGGCCGCCCCTGCTCCTGGCACACTGGTGTGCCACAGAACACAGGTTAAGAAACACTGCTCAAGGGGTTAGTCGTGAGAGGCTGTCAGTCTCTCATTTCTGACACATTTCAGCTCCAGGCTGGAGTCCCCTGGGAGGTTCAAACACAGCAAGTCAGCACTGGTGGATTAACCCAATTGGGGAGCATGTATCTGAACTTAACTGAACCTTGCAAATCTTTGCACCTATTCCCAGCCATTGGTTTAGTCCAGGTTACTTGACCAGTATAAGTGAAAGGAAATGACTGGGGCTGTCAATTGATGTGTGTTAACGCCTGCGATTAATACAGGGCAGGATTAATGCATTAATCGCAGGTGTTACTGCTGCCCCGCCCCTTTGAAATGCTGTTCCAGCATCTCAAAGGGGCAGTGCATTAGGAGCCAGGAATAAGGTGGAGTGCCCAGCTGATCCTGGGTTCCGCCTTGCACTGCCCCTTTGAAGTGTCACCCCGGTGTTTCTAAGGGGCAGCACTGTACAGAGCCAGGGTCAGCTGGGGACTCCAGCTGATCCCGAGCTCCACCTTGCACTGCCCCTTTGAAGTGCCACCACGGTGTTTCTAAGGGGCAGCACTGCACAGAGCCAGGGTCAGCTGGGGACTCCAGCTGATCCTGGGCTCCCGCAGTGCTGCCTTGGAAATGCTGCCGCAGCATTTCAAAAGGGCAGCGCATGCGATTAATCGCGATTAATTTTTTAATCGCTTGACAGCCCTAGGAATGACCAACCGGCCAACGTGGTTCAGAGGAAGTGTAAACATGGTGGGAGAAATCCTGACAGCTGTGAAGTCAACCACAACACTCTCATTGACGTTAATGGAGCCAGAATTTCACCCAATGAGAAAAATCGTGGCTGGTGGAACTCCATTGGATGGGTTTGACTCGGAGCAGTGAAGTCCATTAGAGCACTGGGTCCCTCTGTGATTCAGGGAGTCCGGGTGCGAAATTAAAATCTGTCCGTTTCACACTCAACCTTTTTTCCCTCCTCGGCGGGGCCATGACATAACAGGTTTTGTGTAGCTGCTAGACATCTTCCTAATAGTATCCCCTGTGAATTCTAAATTTCAGTCACAGCCTCTAAATTTTCATTAAGAGCAGTCACCCAGAGAGAATGATGGATTAGATTTTATTGTTGGAAAATCTCCAGATAAAATTAAAGTGCTTCTTTCTTTTTTAAAACTTTTACCTTTCCCCCGTGGTGCTCTATAAATAAGGTATCAAATAATGTTTATCCTTTTGAATTCTACAATCTTCCGTGTTCCATGCTTCCTTCTGACCACTTTTCTGCCTCTTCAAAGATTCTTCTATTAAAGCCAATGACCAGTCTAGACACAGCCACTCTGGGGCGGTGTCTAGACTACAAAGTTCTATCGGACAATGAGACGCAAATCGCGGTTTACAGTTTGCGTCTTTTTTCTGCTTTTCTTCCACTTGGTCAATTTCCTTCCCAACATCCCTTCTTCCTCGTAGAACAAGGTTTACAGGGATGCCGAAAAAGTGCGTCTGCTTTTCCTAATTTTTTTTCGGAAAAGCAGACGCTTTCCTTGGACACGACAGAGCTTTTCCGGGGTACTGCCGGTATCCCAGAAAATCTCTGCAGTCTAGACATACCCTGGGTAATATGCTTAGAGTTGGAGATATTATAAAATCTGGTTGTTTTATTTCTGTACAATTTAGGAGATTTTACATAAACGCAGGTAAATCTTTTAATATAGTGTTGTCTTCACCATGAGAATTAAATTGTTTATCACTTTACCAGAAGGCTTTCTTTTATTTCTTCCCTCCTTTTGTTTCCCCCTTTCTCTCTTTTACCCATGCCTTGCACTCTCCTTTCTTTTTCCCTAAATACATTTAATCTGTTCGGATTGTAGACAGATGAGACCACATTCTCGTAGCGCCCACAATCACATGACCAGCAATGAGACAGTTTCTGTTTAAAACCAGCCACTGTTTCAAATTGCCAAATTTTGATAAGTTGTTATCCGCTGTTGCTGCCCCGGCCAGTAGATTTTTATAACAGATGTTATTTCGTATTACATCGAAGGAAGAAAGAAAAAAAAAAGATTACACCCTGGTTGGGGTGAGGGAAAGTCTCAAATACAGTTTGAGATGCTTTTAGCCTGTCATTTTGAATGCAGAAACAAAGAAAGATGCAAGTGTTTGGTAGGAAGCATTCAAAAGCCGGTAATGATGACATGATTCATATTGGTGTCAGCTTGTTTAAATTAAATTCCACGGGGATTTATCCTGCAAAGACTCCAAAGAAATTTCAGCACCCCCCTCCCCATTTATAGCATCTTAAATAGATGTGGTGTGGCATGAGTGGGATTGCATCAAGACAAAGGTTCCTCGGCAGAAACTGGAATTTTCTCAGCTCCCTCTACCACGGCTGAAAGGAAAGATCTTTGCTTCTGTTTGCCTGGCTGCTTTGTGGCTGAAAGTTAACACTGGTTCTGTGCACCAAACAAGTGTCCACCAGGGAATTTCCCACCGCGGAAGAGATAGGAAAAGAGACGTCTGTGGCATTAGCCAATCTCATTATTGTTATTTCACATCACAGTAGGGCTCCTAATCAAGTTGTATAGTTACATAGGAAGATACTCCCCCTCCCTCGCCTCAAAGACATTACAATCTAAGTGAGTATGGTGAAATCTGGGAGCTTGGATCAGAAGGGGAAATGTCTTTTAAAACCACGCTCGAATCTTACAGCCCCTTTGTGGAGGGGTCAAGTCAGCGAGATCCACCACCTACTCCAGGCAAAGCAGACTTCAGGGCGTATGCCTTGGGAAGTGCAAGAGGGCTACATGGGCAGGATTTACTCTGTCCACTCAACTACCACAGTGTTTCTTAAACTGTGTTCCACGGCCCACCGGTGTCCCACGAGACAGTCAAAGGTGTGCCGTGACGAACAGAATTCAAAATGGCCACCCTTAAAGGGGCAGGCAACTTTTTTTTCTTCTCAATAATTTTCCCCTGACCCTTTTCCCCCCGACCCTCAACAAAAAATCCTTGATGTTCCCCATTAAAAAAAAAAGTATTGTTTGGTGTTCCCCGGTCTTAAAAAGTTTAAGAGACACTGGCGTAGCAAATGCTCAAGGAAGCAAATCAGGGAGCGGATTAGCCAGTGGTCTAGCAGGGCCAGAACACCATTCCAGCACTTGCACAGAAACAATACTAGGCCCTCCGTGTGGCCGCATGGAGGTCACTGCTCTGCAGAGCAAAATGGTGGCCTCCATCCAGCATGGCCTCACACGTACAGGATCATGCCAGAGGGGTGGGGTCATTCTGGTACCTCAGCAAACCAGGACGGCACCGCTGGGATTAGCCTTCTGCCCCTCACCCTTGACTCTGGAAAAGTCCCCTTGAGGATGTGGGCCTATCTATCTAGGACATATATGGCCCCCATAATGCTCGTCTCACTGGAGGGCTTTTTGATAGAGCAGCACAAGCAGCCACTGACGCCTGAAGACCTTCTGTGATTGTAGAGTCGAAGGATTCATGGGGCCAAAGGATTCACCTCAGACTTCAAAAAAAAAAAAAAATTGTTTTACTCCAGTGTCACTCAGTCAACTTAGGTAGAGTTACTTCTGATTTACCACAGTGAAGTAATGCCAGGTCTGCACTAGAGAATTAAGGCATGCAACTCCAGATACATAAAATGCGTAGCTGGAGTCGGCTTACCTTATGCCAAGCTTAACACCACCTTCACAGAGGCCATGTCTCCACTACAGATGTCATCGTGTAGTTGATTAAACGATTAACTGATAAGCAAAAGTTTATAGGTTAATGCTATAGATTACACGCCAGTACGTTTTTTAGCAGGCTGGCCATACACTTTAAATGCAGAGCCGCAGTGGGAGTATCAGAAGCCAGGTGGGCAGGCAGCCCAGCTCAGTTCTGGCTTGCACTGGGTCCGGGAGCTTAGTCCTCCACCCCTAGAAAGGGGCTGCTGCCACGCCCCTTTGCTATTGGAGATGGTGCTGGGGGGAGCCAGCTTAAAAGCCAGTTGCAGTGGGGAGGCTTCATCGCAGGCTCTGCAATATAAAGCTTATTTTTATCTGTTACACAGTTAGCTTTTTAAACACAGTTTTACAACCCTAGTGTCTACAAATACAATTTTGTAACTAAAACCCTGCAAATTTGTGGGTATCAATGCAAATATCCATGCCTCAGTTTTGCAGATATAGATGCTGATGTAAATTTTGTATCCATGCAAGGTCCAACTCAAAAGTAAGTCTACAATTTTTATTCATGGGTATTTTTACTAAAAAATTAGTCACAAATAGGTCACAGGAAGTAAACAAAAATTCATAGCCCATGACCTATTCCAGTGTTTCTCAACCAGTCGTACGAATACCCTCGGGGGTACTTGAGAGAAGTCTGGGGGGTATGTTAACACAACTGAAATTTGGAGAAAACTGAATTTTTGCTTTCAGTTTTACAGTGCTTTATTATTTTTGTACTTTTTACACACACACAAAATTTTAAAGGGGCACTTTATAAAAAAAAAGATTAAGAAACACTAACCTATACTATATACCTATAAATAAACTTAGATCAGGAGGTCAATGGGTACTCTAGAAGGGGGGGGTGTCAAGGACTCCGACTGCTGGGTGCCACTTGCTGCAGCAGAGATCGCTCTTCTGGTGTTTGATTTAGAGGGTCTAGTTAAGACCGGCTAAATGGAATGCTGAGGGCGGCTCTGGTCAGCACTGGAACTCCTGAGAATCACGAGGAGTAAGGGAAGCTGACAGGAGCGCTTGTGACAAGTGAAGATGTGGCCTAAGAGAAAAATCCGGTGCACACTCAGACGGAGTGAGTTAGCGCTGCTGGGATTCAAGAGCCCATGTAGCAGTACCAAGCCTTTATGTTGATAGCACGATGCCACCCGCAGATCTGCTGGCTTTCAGCCCAGCTGTCTTCTCTTCTCTCTCAGGGGAAGATTTTGGAGGGCATTCTGTGAGAGAGGAACAACATGGAGCGTCTTTGTAGGCTTCACAAGCCAGGATACAAATAGACTCTCAGGGCTGGGTCTTTAGCTGGTGTATACTAGAGTAGCTGCATTAAAGACAATAGATTTTTGTGAATTTACACCCCACTAAGAATTGTGCTCTCAGTTTTTACTCTGTCCTCACTCAGGCAAAATTCCCATCTATTTCAAAAGGGAGTTTGCTGGAGTAACAATCCCACCATTCAGCTCACAGAAGCCAGGGCCCATCCTGATGTCCTCCCCTCCCCCCGCCACATCATCTTTGAACCTGTTTTCCTCCTACAAAAATTCCTCAGAACTTTTTTTGCACCCATAGAAACATTACCGTTGAAATGGGAAACAAAACAAAAATAGTCTCCTTCCCTCATTGCCATGTTTTAACGTCATCCCGAAGGAAGCGACACTGTCTTGGCAGCTCCGAATAAAGGAAAAAAAAAAATCACAGTGCTTTCCAGCTACTTTTATGGGTTTATCTACCTCATGTTCCAAAGGTGGCAGTACCAAGAAAACACCACGGCTCTGTGGAGAAGAGGCCTTGGAGAGTCACAAACAAGTCTGGAAGAGAAAAAAAAAATGGGAATGAGAAACCTTGTAAACTTGGTACCAGCGAGGAATGAGAGCTGCCAAAGCTGACAGAAATCTGCCATGAAACAAATCACATTGCAGACTTCCCTGCACAGAAGTCACAACGCCCACAGCTGGGAGAGAGTCCAGAGTTATTTTTGGGCAAGGTTTCTGTCAGTTCCAAGCAAAGTTTCAGTCAGGAGAAAGAGCGGGGGAGCGAAACGGAGGTTTTGTTTTAACTAGAGATGTTGGAACGACATTTAAAATGATGGGTACGGTGTTGACAAGCCTACAGTAGGGAGCAGACCACCACAGACATGACCTAGTGGGGCTCTAATGTCTAAGATGCTATGAAAGGTCTCTGAGATATCTGAAAGCTTGTATCCCACACGGCAATGTTTGAGGTTGGGTTTTCAATTCCTTGTACAAAAGTGCCACTGACTTCACTGAGAAGTGCATACTGGGGGTCCATACATGGGGGGGAGGGGGCTGCACGTGGCCTATCGGGGTTCTATGTGTGGCGTGCGAGACATTTGTTACTGTTGCCCAAATGCAGGATTGCCAGGTTACTGTAGGTTTCTGTCCATGTAATTTTTTTCCTACCAGTATGACTAAAATGACATGGGACTTACATCAAGAGCACATGATGTGAGGTGCCTGCACACAACATTGATGGTGAGCGCCATGCGCTCACGCTGCATCCAATCAACACGCTGCTACAGTTCAGTTGCCCCGCCCGCAACATTGCCCCATCCCGGGAGACCATCTTGGTTACAACCATCTTGCAGTTCACTGAGGCTGTGTCGACACAGCAAAGTTATTTCGGAATAATGGCCGTTATTCCGAAATAACTATATGAGCGTCTACACGGCAATTCCATTATTTCAAAATTATTTCGAAATAATGGACGGCTTATTCAACTTCTGTACACCTCATTCTGCAAAGAATCACGCCTATTCCGAAATAGCTATTTTGAAATCAGGCGTGTGGAGACGCTCCACTGCCGCTATTTTGAAATAGCCCCTCCCCAGGCCTGTTCGGTGTTATTGCTCCTGGGGCTCCAAATCGAGATAGCACGTCTACGTAAGGGGAGCCTGCCTCGGACTCATTTTGAGGCTTCCCTGCAGTGTAGATGTGCTATTTAGAAATAAGCTATTTCGGAATAACTATTCCAGAATAGCTTATTCCGAAATAATCGTGCGGTGTAGACACAGCCTGAGATGAAGGAGGGCTACTCCTCAGGTCTAGTCAATAGCCTAGGTTGGCCATTACTGATTTTGAATGTGCGAAGCGTACAAGGCCACATCCTTTTAAAACCATACTGTCGTGGATAGGCAAAGCAAGTGGGATATGTTTAGAACAGGGGAACCGTTTTTGGATTGGGGGCCGCCGACCCACAGAAAAATCAGTCGGGGGCCGCACACAAGTGAGAAGCAAAGAAACAAACTGAAAACAATCACTCCTTGAAGTGGCCCCCAACTAAGAAGGAGACAGACAGCCTCACAGTGGGGTGGGGGGCGGGTGTACCAGCATGGGTCCCCAGTGCTGGGGGGGAAGCCCTGAACCACTTTGGGGGACCAGATCCAGGCAAGCCAGGGGCCACATCCGGCCCTTGGGGCTTAAGTTGCCCATCCTTGGTTTAGAAAATTCCAGAGACCAATTCCACACGACCTGGTGGAGAGACGGGGTGGAAGTGCAGGCTGATTTATGGGCCTTTACCTCCCTGCATCCTAAGCCAGCCAAGACTAACTCACACCCTCAGCCACCGGTCCCAGCCTGCAGGTAGCCCCACCTGCTCCTTTGTCCAGCTTCCCAGGCAAAAAGGTGTCACATGATGTCACCTGGTTGCTCCTCCTACTCAGGCTCAGGTTACAAGAGAGCCGGAGCTATTATTGTGTTGGTGCTAAGATGGGGCAGTCTCCCCCTCAGTGAGAGAGTCACACCCAAAACTCCCGTCCCCAGCAGGGCACCGGTGCAGTGCCCAGGGAAACTGAGGCACACACACAGTTACAACAGAGCCGCACAGGAGATGAGAAATCACATACAACTTAAAGCAAACCGAGGGAACACAATCCCCACAGGCCCACATCGTGGTCCCCATACACAGCCCCTTATTTCATTTCTTTGCTTTTCAAACCCAGGTTCTAGTTTTTACCAACAATAACCATGTTTAGAAAAAAGCCCCCCCCGAGATCGGAATGAACTCCAAAGCGATTTCACTTTCACGCCATTTCTTTTGTCCCTCCCCTAAGCAGGGAAATCTGCAGGGTACTGCTTTCAAACGTTAATGAAGAACAGCCTCCTCTCTGTACCTCGCAGGGCCCTCTTTCCCAGTGAACATCCATAAATATTCCTTTAAAACGGTTTTGGAGACGCTCCCGGAAGGCCCTGATCATAGCCGATGTCAGGAAATGTCAGCCGTTTCTCCTCCTCAAGAAGTTGGTAGCGCGGCTGGGAAAGAACAGATGCATTAAAGGCAAGGAGATTTACAACCGCCGCCCCACGCGGGAACCATAAAACGACAATTTGTTCAATTTCAAAAGCAGACCTCTTGCCCCTCCCGGGCACTTTCCCCACTGTGGATAAAGCTGGGCTTAACAAGCCCAAGATCCTTAATGATAAAATGGATACAAACGTTCATTTTTCAAACCAGGCGGTGCAGGAGAGACAGGAATGTAGGCATCCGAAAGTAAAGGAGAATCGGTGGGGGATACGCGTTAGCATCCTCTATAGACCTGTTTCCGCAGAATCTCTCCTCTTATCTGCCACAGTGGGAAAATTATTTAGATCATAAGCTCTTTGGCGGAGGGGCTGTTTCTTCCCCATCGCTGTTAAGGCATGTAGCTGGTACCATACCAAGAATGCAGCAATAATCGCTGGTGTAATTTTAATGACTTCCCTGGAATTACTACTGGTTCGCACCATTCAGAACAAAAGGAAACACCCTGTTTCTTCAAACTGCTTTGGCAATGTCTTCACTGAGGTCTGTCCAAGTCCTTATGCAGATATAGGTTGAACCTCTCTAGGCTGGCAACATTCATGGTCCGGCATGATTTTAGTGAGCCGGATGGCCACTTATCATGGATGTGGCCAAGTTTCCCGCAGTCCCATAAAGTTTGTTTCCAGCCACCCGTCCTGGAGCTCCGTGTTCCGGGCTGTTCTTTAGCTCTAATTTATCCCTAAATGTCTTCTAAGAGCCCAGCAAGCAGGGGAAGGGATGGTGATGCTACCAGGCAATATTGAATTTGGCAAATTCTCTGGTTTGGCACCAGGCAGGTCCGGAGGATGCCGGATTAGAAAGGTTCAACCTGTATAGAAAATATCTTTTTTTCTACGTTCTTACCAGAGCACACGCAAGATGCAGTGTCATCCTTTGATGGACATTTGCTGAAGTTCTTCATGCCAGATGGTTTCTTTCTCTAGATAACCACAAAACAGACAGGCTGTGTCTACATTGGCACCCTTTTCCGGAAAAGGGATGCTAATGAGACACTTCGGAATTGCAAATGCCCCGGGGATTTAAATTTTCCCCGCGGCATTTGCATGAACATGGCTGCCGCTTTTTTCCGGCTCGGGGCTTTGCTGGAGAAAAGCGCCAGTCTAGACAGGTATCTTGCGGAAAATAAACCCTTTTCCGGAAGATCCCTTATTCCTACTTAAAATCAGGAATAAGGGATCTTCCAGAAAAGGCTTTATTTT